CAGCGCTGCAACCTCGCATCCATTGCCATTCACGCGGCCGTATGTAAAAAGAATATCCATCTGCTCACGATACGAATATCTTGTCAATGATAAATAAAACACTTCTCAGTTACCTCACTACTACATACGTTGAAGACAAATTAACCAAAAAAGTACACGAATGACAAATCTAACCTAGTCTAAATGACAACACATCTACCGTAATCTTTTTCAAATATAATAACTAAAAACGAAGGAATTGCGGACATATATTTATAGGAAATTTTGTTCTTGTTTGATGTAAGGAACCCCCCAGACACACACCGAAGTTTGTAAAAGTATTTTGATACATCCTGTGTCCGTTCTAATTATATAAAAAGAAAATTAGCACTCATATAATTTCAGTATTAAATCATTGCAGTAGTACCCTTTCAAAGGCACACACGTTATACATTATCGTTTATATTGCTGGTATAATTCCTGGAAGTTCTTTTTTAGGAAAGCGAATTCATGTCTTGTCGCATTAACTTGGATTTAGTTTTCGAAGATGAAAAAGTCGCAAGCGACGAGATCTGGGTGAATATGGTGGCTGTCGGTCTTGTGGGATCCTGAGAAAGCGATTATCACTGCGTGATTGATCACGAATGTGAACAAAGATCCTATAACTTAGAGTTCAAGTTCATCCAGTGACAAATGTCTTCATTTTGCTTACTTTTGTTTCGTTACTATTGCAACTGTCCCGATACTTCTTGAAGACACATATATGTCTACACACACACACACACACACACAAACACACACACACACACACACACACAAAATTACCTCCCATACACACACATATATATATATATATATATATAGAATATATATACATACATATATATATATATATATATATATATATATATATATATATATATATATATATATATATAAATATAATATATATATATATATATATATATATATATATATATATATATATATATATATATATACACGTTTAGTTGAATGATCTGGACAAAAGTCTATTTATTTTGATTTTAATCCTCTCGAATTCTCAGATCAACTTCTTAATGTTGATTTTTAAATTCATTAAGGTAGGCGCCATAATTTTTTTTTAATTTCTTTTATTTTCTTAACTGATTTCAATTTCACCCAAGATCATCAATCAGTAAAATTAATTAAAATGTCTTATATTTAAAATTAATGCATAAAGCATTTTTTACCAAAGAGATATTAATTTCATCAAAGAATTTGGCAATTCTGAAGAGAATTTAAAAAAAAAAACAACAAATGAAACACTATATTGAAAACAATTAAATCATTAAAGAAAGCATACGGCAACTTGAAACCACTGTAAACATTACTCTTTCCTCCTTTAGCGCAAAGGAAACGTGCGAAATTTAATAAAAAACGGAAGGCTTAACAAGTTCGGGGGATGAAGGTAAGTTTCATTAAAAAATAAACGCCGAAACTTTCTGAGAATAACTCGAACAACACGAATTACTCGCAAAAGCTCGCGAAATGTTACCCCCTATCCGGGCACAAGATGTGCAAACAAGTTGTTTCAGCCTTCAATTCCAAAAGTATGCCTGCCGGTCAAAAGCATCATCGGTAAAGATATCAATGGCGGCGGAATTCTATTTTCCACGTGAAGAAGAAAATGTCCATCAGAATGTTGTCCCTGAGAGACCATCAAGGCCACAAGAAGAGGTGAAACAGTAATTTATACATTTACGATTAAATCACTGAATGCCCTTTATTTTCCATGTCTTTAAAATAATGTTCTTAATATTCTGCAACTATTTCTCTCGCATTAAAAGCTGAATACCAGTTTTGCCAATATTTTCTTTTTTCTACGAAATTATTTTCATTTCAGCTATTGTTAAAACATTACTTGGGACATTCTGAAATCCATTCCATTTTTTTTTTCATTTCATATTTTCAATTTCGAAAAATGCATCGGTTGATCCGTCGTCAAATACGGGTAGCGCGGTTGTAGCCTGTTGTTCGTGTTAAGTTCTTCCCTTGCCTTGCGCAACATATAGATAGATAGATATGAACGGATGCAGATAGATCGATGTGAACAGATGCAGATAGATAGATAGATAGATAGATAGATAGATATAGATAGATGCAGATAGATAGATGAACAGATGAGATAGATTAGATAGATATGAACAGATGCAGATAGATAGATGATGATAATGATAGATAGATAGGAGATATGAACGATATAGATAGATAGATAGATAGATAGATAGATGTGAACAGAAGGAGATAGATAGATAGATAGATAGATAGATAGATAGATAGATAGATATGAACGGATGCAGATAGATAGATGTGAACAGAAGGAGATAGATAGATAGATAGATAGATAGATAGATAGATAGATAGATAGATAGATGTGAACAGAAGGAGATAGATAGATAGATAGATACAAAAAGAAAAGTAACAAATAAAGAAATTGTATTGATTTCCAACAGAAGGTCTTGTATCGTGCAACCGACATCCCATGTTTTGCTCTCCGACAAGCAATATGGTGTCTGCCTTGCCCGTTCTACAGCTGATGTGCTTACGACCATCACTGAAATTGTTTACCAAGCCCTTCATAATAACGGAGAAGCTCGTGCTCTAGATATCTTCAAAGTGTTTGATAGGGTTCGGCATGCCGGCCTGCTTCGCAAGCTTCAGGGTTATGGAATTTCAGGTCGATTGTTTGACTTAATACAATAATTCCTGTCATACTGTGTATTGAAGGTGGTTCTCAATGGATTCTCCTCCGGCTCCTATCCCACGAACGCAAGTGTTCCCCAAGGCTCCATCCTCTGTTTCTTATATCCATCAACGATCTTACTGACGCCATAAATTCCCAAGTAGGCATCTATAATTCACTCCTGCCTCAAAAACAAATCTAGTGTCGTTGACAAAACTAACCTGGCCGTTCGTCTCGAAAAGAACGTCTAATCAGTTGTGAACTGGGGCAAGAATTGTCTGGTTAACTTTAACGCCTCAAAAACAAAACTGCTCTCTATTACTCACCAGAGAGAACCATCCCTGCCTCCTATTAGAACGTCTGACTCTCAACTTCTCAAGAGCTCATCTTTGCGACTACTCGGCCTCACATTGTCTGCTGGCCTGAGATGGGACAAATACATTGCGTCAATAGCTTTGTCCACTGCAAGGAAAGTTGGCTACCTGTACTGCGCCAGGAAATTTTTCTCGCCGGAGTCGATCCTTCAAATCTACAAATCAACCATTCGCCCTTGCATGGAGTATTGCTGCCATATATGGTCCGGTGCCCGTTCTGTTTGTCTCAAGGTTCTTGATAAGATCCAGAGACGGATATGCAATTTAATTAGCCTTGATCTGGTATAGCGTCTGCAGTCGCTCTCTCACAGACGTGCCGTTGCCTCCCTCTGTCTTTTTTACAAATACTTTCATGGTAACTGCTCCGATGAGCTGCTTTCGCTGGTTCCCAGACTTCATGAATTTAAGCGTTCTATTAGGCTGGCGTCTCGCTCACTGTCGAAACTGTTAAATGTAGCCGTCTCTTCTACTTCAATAGCTTCATGTCTCGCACCTCTGGAACTGTGGAACTGCCTCCTCTTTTCTTGTTTCCCTGATAACTATAATCTACACCTATTCAAATCGACGTCTACAGATGCCTTGATCTATCCGCTATCCTTCTCTTCATCCTTTCCTCTATCAATCCTATTTGCTTTCGCTCTAAATCCTATGTAACCCCTTGCGTGCTAGTGGCTTCCCGCCTTGTTTGGAGTGAATAAAAATAATTCCCTTTTTAATAAGAGTGTTACTCTTTCACCCAAGTTTTATATATTATAAACATTGCCGAAATAGCAAGACGCAAAACAGAATTAGATTTATATTGGAGATTTCCACCGTTGACTCTCTTTAACACATTCCTCTTTTTTAATCAAATCTGCTAAGCACACCAATAGTTTCTACTTGGAAATTCCTTAAATTTACAATCGTTTGTACAATTGCTGATTAACCAAAATATTTTATCAATATTTAAATGCTTTTGGCAAAATCACATCCATTTTTCTACATTCATCTCGCAAATCGATTGTTTTATTTCATTCTGAACACAGTAATGTAATCAGTTTTAAAGCCAACACTTTCTTCCTCATGCTGGAGGTTGGTGGTGGGGAGAGATGTTGTGGATTAACATCCAATCTCCTAAACACGTAATGGAACTCTCATACCACTCTCTTATCAAAAATGGGGATCTCACTCAAGTACTGGCTGAAGAGAGAATCGAGAAATCAGAGATACACTTACAAAAAATCCAGATTTAGTTGTTTCTCTTCGATAGAACTGTATACTTGAAGTAATCTAAACTATTCTGATAATATTTACCAGCCACCCCACCCCCGAGAGATGTATGTGGCACAAGGCCAAGTTTACCGTGGGTTCTCCGAGCCCGTAGGTTAGGTCAAAAATATTCCTAGAACCCATATAAACGGGCTCAGGGTCTGTCTACCTCCCCGGATGAAATTTTGCCCTGCGGCAAAGCCACGTCCGGGTTCCTCTCTGCTCAAGACAAAAGAGTTCGACAGTTGAACAGGCTATGGCACTGTTATATTTAACAGTCACCCCAACCCAGGAGGGATGTATGTGACACAAGGCCGAGTTTACCGTGGGTTCTTCGAGCGCGTAGGCTCAGCCAAAAATAATCCCTTAGAACCCGTATAAACAAGTTCAGGGTCGGTCTACCTCCCTGGACGAATCTTTGCCCCTCGGCAAAGCCTCGTCCGGGTTCATCTCTGCCGAGGCAGAGAATTTGACAGTAATGAACAGTTTGGCACTGTTCCACAAAACTATTCTGATGTTTAATTTGAAGTAGTGCGAAATAAATCAAAGAAAAAACAGTTCCGATATTCAAATTTGCTAAAATTAGCATAGAAGAATATTGCGAAATTGTAAGAAACAGGGGCAAGACAATTTTGGTTTGGTTTATTTTGTTTTACGGTATATCAACTCCCAATGGATTATGCCCACAAGATTTTTTCAGTGGGTTCGTATGAAGAGAATATGTCTTTGTAAGAAATCAGCTTGTAAATCAAGTTTCATTGACATATTTTTTGTAAACGTTTTTTTTGTTGTTGTGGAGAATTAAATGAATTGTTTTGTAATATATATATATATATATATATATATATATATATATATATATATATATATATATATATATATATATATATATATATATATGTCGACTCTCCCCGTCGAAATTCGACGTATGAGGTCAAGCAGATCAGTTTCCAGGAAAGCGACAGCCCGACACCGGCACATGAGATTTCATTATGGTGGTGAAGGCTTCGTGCAGGACCATCCACACTTTATATATATATATATATATATATATATATATATATATATATATATATTATATATTTTTTTTGTGTGTAATGAATTGCTGGCAATATTTTTTAAAATTTATTCCTGGTATTTTTTTTTTAATGTATTGTTGGTAATATTTTTCAAAGATGTATTTCTGGTATTTTTCCTATAAAATATATATTTTCATTCTTTCATAATGTCTTGACATGAGTTTGCGGGGGTTAAACTGTTAACCTATTAGTGTCCCAGCTATGGGTAAATAGTAAAGCACCAAACGAAAATTAACAGGAGATTTTTATAAGAAAATAAGCATCAATGACATTTTACAACAAAATGACAATCAATACAACACTAAAAAAAAAATCTAAGAAATACATTTTTATAGTAAAATTATCCAAAACACATTTTATGATCTACAACATATATATTTAAAAAATAAATACTTATTCTCTGAAAGTACAAAAAAATTATGTACAAAAATATTTATAAACCACATTAAATAACGAATAGAGGTTGATATGCCGCGAAATAAAATCAATCAAGAGTTTTTTTATATTTCTGTATACATGGTGTTTTTTTTTATTTCTATCAGCGGACGGAAGTTAGGATATCCAGTGCTCACAACGTCAACAAATCTCTCTCTCTCTTTCTTCTCTCTCTCTCTCTCTCTTTCTTCTCTCTCTCTCTCTCTTTCTTCTCTCTCTCTTTCTTTCTCTTTCTCTCTTTTTCTCTCTCTCTTTTTCTCTTTCTCTCTTCCCCTGTCTCTCTTTCTCCCTCTATCTTTCTCTCTTGCTCTTTTTCTCTTCCTTTCTCTCTCTTTCTCCCTTTCTTCCTTTCTCTCTCTCTCTCTCTCTCTCTCTCTCTCGCTCTCTCTCAATAATTTCTATATGTTTACATATCCCGTAACCTCTTATTTTCGTATGGGCTCCACACATAATGCAGCCATGTCAGATATGGTATTTCTCTACCAAAACAGGAGTAGAAGTTTATCCCTTATTTCCTGCTTAGGATTGGATTTCCACTTCCTTCTAAAGTTCACGTCAATTCTATACTCCTAACGCTGGTCCTTTCCTACGCTAATATGATTCCACACACTAAACTTCTAACTTGAGTGACTCCTGAGCTTTGTATTGGATGAATATTAGTTAAAAAAAAAAAAGTAGACACCCTAATGGAGGCCAACACTCTCCAGTCTGGTCTGAATTCAGAGTTTTCCTTTTCCTACACTGCTCTAAACGAGTCCTGATATTTTAACCAGAACTGGGGAAAGAATCGATTAAGACCTTTTTCAAGGTTATTAGCACGTAATGAATTTGACTGGAATTCGAACTCGGCTCTCCGATTCATTAATCCGTGCTACTAACCAGTACCTTACCAAGCCTGCATCCGCACATCCAAGCTTACAGAATCTGATATTCACAAGTGGTCACCCATCTAACTACTGACCAAGTTCGACGCTGCCTAATTTCTGTCATCGTACGGTTTTCTAGGTAATATGGCCTCGCTCAGGTAAGAAAACATTTGACAAATCCTGTGTATGAATTTTGCATGAATCTGTATTACATGCATTGGAATACTTAACTTGTATTATAAACCAAAATTTTTTGATATAATGTTTGAAAGTTTCTGTTTGCAGTTTGAAAGAATCCCGCCATTTTCTGATCAAATTGTAACTTGAAGAAGGCTGTAAAATGAATCGGCCAAAATACACATTTCTATTGTCGAAACGTTCTGTAATAAGGAAAACAAATTATATTCATTATTAGTTAAAATTCTTTAAAAACATTACATTTATATTTTCTCGCTAGATAAAAAAATATTTTTTATTTGTTGTCATAAATTTATTAAATAATGATTGCGTTTCAAGAAGCTACGACTTGTAAACGTTGTATGAATAGCTTCAAAATTCACTCCCAGACACAAATATATCACGCACAAAGCACAAAGCATAAATGTATTCGTTTTCGTCTTTCTCACGGAAACTTAGAAAAACACACTCACACAAACCGTTTCACTTCCATGCCGAAAAACATAAAATAATAAAACGATGGAAAAATTTGAATTTAATCTATGTTTGAAGTTATGGGTGTATTAGTTTACACCGAAAGTTGATCTGCTTCTTTGATGTCTACTGAATGTAGCCAT